GATAAAGGTCTTGGAGAGATCTGGGATAACAGGGACATACTTAAACATAATAAAAGCTATTAACAGTAAACCAACAGCCAACATCAAACTAAATGGACAGAAACTCAACGCAATTCCTCTAAAATCAGGAACAAAACAAGGCTGTCCACTCTCTCCATACCTTTTCAACATGGTACTTGAAGTTCTAGCTATTGCCATACGACAACAAAAGGGGATCAAGGGGATACAAATGGGAAGGAAGAGGTCAAACTTTCACTGTTTGCAGACGATATGATAGTTTACATCAATGACACAAAGAACTCGACCAGGGAACTCTTACAGCTGATTAACACCTTCAGCAAAGTGGCAGGCTACAAGATCAACTCAAGAAAATCAGTAGCCCTACTATATACAGATGATAAAAGGGCTGAAAAAGAAATCAGAGAAACATCACCCTTTACAATTGCCACAAACAACATAAAATACCTTGGGGGTAATGCTAACCTGTGAAAGACTTGTATCTTAAGAACTTTGAATCTTTAAAGAAAGAAATTAAAGAAGCCCTCAGAAAATGGAAAGATCTCCCATGCTCTTGGATAGGTAGGATCAATGTAGTAAAAATGCCAATCCTGCCAAAAGCAATCTACCGATTCAATGCAATCCCCATTAAAATCCCAGCACAATTCTTCACAGACCTTGAAAGAACAATAATCAATTTTGTATGGAAAAACAAAAGACCCAGGATAGCCAAAACAACCCTGTTCAACAAGGCAACGTCCGGAGGCATCACCATCCCTGACCTCAAGTTCTATTATAGAGCTATAGTCCTGAAAACAGCTTGGTATTGGCACAAAAATAGACAGGTAGACCAATGGAATCGAATTGAAAATCCGGGTATTAACCCACACACGTATGAACATCTGATCTTTGACAAAGAAGCTAAAAATATACAATGGAATAAAGAAAGCATCTTCAACAAATGGTGCTGGCAGAACTGGAGACTGGCATGTAGAAGAATGCGGATCGATCCATGTTTATCGCCATGCACAAAACTTAAGTCCAAATGGATGAAAGACCTCAACATAAATCCAGCCACACTGAACCTCTTAGAAGAGAAAGTGGGTGGTACCCTTGAACGAATTGGTACAGGAGACAGCTTCCTGAACATAACACCAGTAGCACAGACAGTGAGATCAACAATTAATAAATGGGACCTACTGAAACTGAGAAGCTTCTGTAAGGCAAAGGACACAGTCAGCAAGACAAAAAGGCAGCCCACAGAATGGGAAAAAATATTCACTAATCCCACATCTGACAGAGGGTTGATCTCCAAAATTTACAAAGAACTCAAGAAGCAAGTCTCCAAAACATCTAAGGACCCAATTAAAAAGTGGGCTGCAGAACTAAATAGAGAGTTTTCAATAGAGGAGTCTAAAATGGCTGAGAGGCACTTGAGAAAGTGCTCAACATCCTTAGCCATCCGGGAAATGCAAATCAAAACAACTCTGAGATACCATCTCACTCCTGTCAGAATGGCTAAAATCAAAAACACCAATGACAATTTATGCTGGAGAGGATGTGGTGAAAGGGGACACTCCTCCATTGCTGGTGGGAGTGCCAACTGGTTCAGCCACTTTGGAAATCAGTATGGAGATTCCTCAGAAAAATGGGAATAAACTTACCACAAGACCCAGCAACTCCACTCTTAGGCATATATCCAAAGATGCCCATTCATACAACAAAGATGTCTGTTCCACTATGTTCATAGCAGCTTTATTTGTAATAGCCAGAACTTGGAAGCAACCTAGATGTCCCTCACCCGAAGAGTGGATAGAGAAAATGTGGTACATTTACACAATGGAGTACTATTCAGCAGAAAAAAACAATGGAATCCTGAGATTCGCTGGCAAATGGATGACACTAGAAGAAACCATCCTGAGTGAGGTAACCCAGTCACAAAAAGAGAAACATGGCATGTACTCTCTCATATATGGATTTTAGACATAGATCTGGGGAGTGCCAGCCTACAATCCTATGGCCAGAGAGTCTGGGAAACAGAAACTTCATTTAGTGGCTGATCAAAGAAGAGGCAGACTCCCTCGGTTAAGTACTGAGCTGAACTCAAGAAAGCCAGTAACAGAGAGGGAGGACTGATGATCAAAGGGATTAAGACTGCGCTGGTTTAACCCCCAGAAACAGCTGACCAGACAAAGGTTAACTCTTGAATCCCAGGCATCAGCCTGGGAATCCAGCATGGGACTGATCAAGACCCCCTGAATCTGGGTGTCAGTGAGGAGGCCTAGGTAATCTATTGAGCCTTGGGCAGCAGATCAGTACCCATCCCAAGTATACACATGGACTTTGGACTCCCATAGAACAATGTGAGGTGCACTCTCACCCTGAACTCTTGGGGAAGGGTCTAGGCCCTGCCCTATATGAAATGGCAGACTATGGACACCCCCATGGAGGGCCTCACCCTCCCTGGGGGAATGAGGGTATAACGGGGGGGGGGGTGGAGGGGAGGGAAAGGGAGAGGGACCTGGAGCTGACTTGTGAAGTAACCTTGTTTCTTATCTAAATTTAAACTGGAAAACAAAATTAAATAAATAAATAAATAAATAAAAATAAAAAAGGGTGTGTATGGGGGAGGGTCTCTTGATATTAGACTATAATAAAACAAAGGGACCTAAATGTCATCCCCGATGAGATTCCTGATTTTATTCTTCATTATTACATAGATTAAATTCCTCAAAAACATGTAAGCTGTAAAAAGGGCCTTATGTGCATCCAACTGTGCGAGGAGCTGCATCCACAGGGAACCATGGAAACAGAAACGCTGCCTCTTTAACAAAAATGGAAGAAGAGAAGAGAAAATGTATCTCCTTGGAAATACATGACTTGTAGCATGAAAAAGTCAACCAATTAACCAAGTTTGGATGAGCACCAGGAAGAGCTGTATGTCAGTGCATTGACACATCAATGAAACTGTTTTTGACAAAGGCAAAGGCAAAATAATGATTCCTGACCTAGGTGGAAATAAAGGATTAGTGCAGGTGTTCTCTATAATTCCTTTGAGAGCTGAGCTCTAGGATTCAGCACCCATGACAAAGATCCATCTATACATGCCCTAATAATGTCAAGAGGAAGGAGGATATGAAATGGGTTTTTGAAATAGAACATGCCATGTAACAAATCCCCATTCATTAAATTAAAGGACATATAAAGCCTTAAAAATAACGTCTTTGTCACAGAATTCTAAGACAACTAAAAAATATGATGCGATGTCTTAAAAATAGCCCTCTGTTGTCTTGATGACCTCAGCACAACTAATTCATTTGTATGAGCACAGAAGTTACAGTTTAATATTTCAATTTCATATTTTTTGAAAACCTAGTTATTAGAAATAAGAAAATTAAATGCTACTTTAAAATTATTCATGAAACTCCAGTAAAGGACAGAGTAAACAACATTTGAAGATGATTTTTGAAATGTGAGGATTAAAATTTCCTTTTTAAAGGTTTGTATTTGTTTTTAATTATATGTAGGTACATGTGTCTGCATATCAGAATACGCATATGAGTGGAGGTACCCACAGAGGGCAGAAGCATTGGGTTCCCTGATGCTGGAATCACACATGATTGTAGGTCACCTGATGTGGGTACTTGAAAATGAGCTCAGGTTCTCTGGAATAGTCACAAGTGCTCTTACCCACTGAGCTGTCTCTCCAGGTCCAATAACTGGAACTTGTTTTAACATAGTACGTCTCCAAACTTTTACTTTTGATTCCAAATTTTAAAGATATGTATCATAAGAGAAATGTCAGTTATGACTTCATCAGTATAATGTCAGACTAGAGAAAATATGGAATATATTCTCAACATTTTGCATATGAAGAGTTGTTCCTGGAAGTGTAGGGTGATGAATATGTGTAAGGTATTTCCTTTATCTCTGCTAGCAATTGAACAACTTCATAAAGCATACAGGTGAAGGGTCTCTATATAATTTATAGTATTGTATCAGGTCCACTCCTTGAAAACAAGAGCAAGCATATTTGATACTATGTTGTGCTTTCCTTATTAATTTCTACATTTTTAATGAAATTCATATTATTATACATTAACTTCTATGCATGAGAAATTGATCTTTTCCAAAAGCCACATTTCCTTTATGATACTGAACTACTAGATGGAGACACCAGAATGTGACATGCCCCCTTATGGAGCATAGGCATCCCAAGTATGAAATTCTAAAGTTCAAAAATATCAATGTGTCCAGTTACAAAGGAGATTGTGAACTGCCTCCCTCTTATCTTGGCTAAAACATCCAAATTATTGGTCCACTAATTCAATCAGATTACAGAAAAAAAGAATTGATCTTAAAAATACATAGTTTTGCTTTAACTCACCTAGCACATGTTAAGTATATATTATGCTATGCTATGTACCACTTATGAATATCTCTGGGAAACATAATTCCATATTGTTTTCTGAACTGAAAAATACAACACAAGAAAGAAATCCCTATTTACAGTTAGAACACTGACTCAGAATGGGACATGAAGTCTCGTGCACATAGGTAAACGTTCTCTGACTGATCGATTACCCCTCCCCAGTCCTTTTCTCAGTTTTTATTTTGAGACAGGGTCTTGCTAAGTTGCCCAGGCTGTTTTTGAACTCATTCTGTAGCCCAGTTGGCCTTGAACTTGTGATCCTTTTGCTTTGGCCTCCACAAGTAGTAGGGACTACAGTCTTGTGCCAGTGGGCCCACCTTTAAACACAATTTAATGTAACATTTTATAATGACAATGTTCTTCCTGAGTCATTCTTTCTTTCAAAATTAAATGATTACTTAAAATTCTTACCCATGTGAATTACTTTTTCACACCATTTATAAGGTGAGATGGAAAAGATCTCTATGGTCAGCACAAAATTCCCATGACTAATGAACATATTTTTCAAAAACAACACGTTGCATAAATCTATCATGTATGCAAAAATCTATGCATGGCGTAACATACTTACTCATCTATTTGACAAACACACATCTCCACCTCCCTGAGTGCAGTCTGCAGTTTGCCGAGGAGTTTCTGATAGATGTCTTGGGTTTCTAAGTCTTCTTCTTTCAATAAATATCGGAGTCCATGGCCATCTTTGTGTCCCAGAGACAACCCTGAAGGGGCTGCCATGGTTGTGATTGTGTGTTGAATATAGACCATGGGGCTCATTTTCCCTGAAGAATTCAAATCATTCCATCATTTAACTTCTAATTATGTAGTATAGCACATTTTAGAAAAACAAGTTCATATATAATAAAATGTCAATCCAATGCTAAATTTAATTCAGAATTAAAATCTGCGACACATTGTTATTAAAATCTACAACAGAATTACATTACTTGTCCAATTGCAATGACTCACAGCAGCCTTGTGTATCCTTCTCTTGTACTTCCTTATTGTTCTCAAAAATAGTTATTTCATGTGAAGAACCTTTCACATCAAGATGAACCACACATATAATGAAAGCAAGAGAAATCCTCCTTCTTAAAGGGAAATACTGAAAGTGCCAACTGTCTTTATTCTATATATACTTATATGAGATAATCTAACCAAGTAGAGAATGAAATCATTTCTTTATGTAAACAGAATGCTGGGAATCTACCAATTTTTTTGAAACACAAATAATTATTTAATTTATTGTACTGGCCACTCAAAATTCATTTTTTTCTTGGAAATAATATAAGAAATAACTTCACATTAGTCCTTGATATATATACATACATGTATATATAGATATATATAGATACATAATTTTTCTTTCCTGTTAAAATATGTTACATAATTTAGTGAAAGAGGAATAATCACATTGTATTTTTCTAAAAGTTTGAACATAACCCCATTGTGTACATGAAGAGAATATGATCATCAAAACTTATGCCCATTCCTCTTTTCATATTAGGGAACAAGTATCACTCAGAGAACAGGTGTCTGCTCAGCTATCTCTGCCAGCCTCCTGCCTGCTGCTAAACCCAGACTTGTAGATGTATCAATTCGTTATGTACATGTCCCATTGCTTTATGGCTGTCCTTACATTTGACAAGATTTCCTACTTATATGTATCTGGAATGGGTAGGGGAGGAAGAGGAGGGGAGGGAGTAAAGAAAATAACCTCTGGGGAAAAGTTAAACTTGTCTGAAAACTATGAAAGGTGACAGGCCATGATTCTACCAATTTTAAGATGCAGGTATAGGACTAGAGAGATTTCTCAACAGTTAAGAGCATTGGCTACTCTTCTAGAGGTCCTGAGTTCAATTCCCAGCAACCACATGGTAGCTCACAACTATATGAGATCTGTTGTCCCATTCTGGCATGCAGGCATACATGCAGACAGAACACTGCATACATAACAAATAAAGCTAGCATAACTAACTACACATTGTCTAAATTTCTATTCATGAGTTGACAAATTTTCAAAAGCTAACATACCTGGCTCTGAAGATTTATTTTCTCTGTCATGAGAACTATGTTTCCTACTATCCAGCTGAACACCGAAGGCACTCCCCAGGGAAGTTGATGTTTTAGGATAAGAAACTTCCATCACATTGACATGGCAGTTGGTCGGGCAAAAATCACTGCTGTGTAGTGGGGAGATCTTAGATTTGGCCTGCTTAAAGGTGGGCCAGGCTCTGTTTTTCAGCACCCGAGAGAACTGCAAATTAAAGAATTGGGAATCAGTTGAACACACAGTAACGACTCAACTATCTCACATGCATCAGCCATAATGAACTCAAATGAAAATTAAAGTGTATCAACCTGAATGAGGTAAAATGATTGGATGTTAGAATTTAAATGGTTGTTGCAAAACCCGAACATCCCAATAAACCAAATCATGCAGGCAGCATCTGTGTATGTATGGCTCAGCTGACGCTGTGACTGTGAGTTGAGGGTCAGAAAGAATGAACCTCAGTTAACAATACAACTTCCTAGCACTTGATTCCATGGGTCCCAGGATCTGAGAGAGCCTAATAGAGAAACTTGCTGGAAGGGGCACCAGAGCAAGATGTAGAATTTTTTTGTTTTGTTTTGTTTTGGTTTGGTTTTTGGTTTTTCGGGACAGGGTTTCTCTGTGGCTTTGGAGGCTGTCCTGGAGTTCGCTCTTGTAGACCAGGCTATTCTTAAACTCACAGATATCTGCCTGCCTCTGCCTCCTGAGTGCTGGGATTAAAGGTGTGCACCACCACTGCCCGGTTAAGAAGTAGAGTTTTAAAACTATGCAAGTCAGCAAAACAGAACACTATGGGTGGTCAAGGGTGCAAGAAGACAGGGTCATACCAAGGACCATCAGAAAGCTACCCAAAGCATTAATCTGTACAGACCCAGCAGCAAGCTGAGGAGGTGCTGACCAGAGTGGCAGGATAGCCTTCCCATACATCCCACCAGGTGGCTTTATTTCGAGGATCAGTCAGAACTCAGTTGTGCACTCTTCTTCCAAGTGCCACCCAAATGATCTGTGACTTCTGAGTGTGGCTACCTGGTACCCTAAATATGCAGGACCTAGGAATCCAACAACACCCTGGTTTTCACGAAGCCTGCTTCCCCTTTCTTTAAAGGCCTCTCTCCCCTTGCTCCCTAAACTCCTTCTGACTTGCATATAGTTCCTTTCCTACACTATTCATATACTTTGCGCCTTTGTACAAGATGTTCAGTGTCTAGATGATTTTTATTCAATGCCAAACACTTTCTCTTCAGCAGTTTCAGATTCCAGAAAATCATCAAAAGTCTTACATGAATTCTAGGCCAGTTTCCATTTCCCTGGTGACAAATTAGAGGGCACCTGCAGCCCTCCTAATAACTAGGAATACCTCTTTACTCTAGCTCAGCTGACAGATGGAAAACTCTGTGGGATAAGAGTCTTACGCACAAGAAGTAGATACCTTATAGAACCTAGCTGGATTGTGGTTCTGAAGGCATTTGATGTCTTTTGACCTTGGTGTCAGGACTATAACAGGATTGGTTATGATGTTGAGAAAGTCAGTATCTTACCACCCAACAAATAGGAGATTTGAATTAAATAATCCTACTGATCTTATCTTCCTTAAACTACAACCATGATCCTGCTTTCTCATGTTACCAGCAGACTAATAATTTGGGCATTGAAAAGAACAAAAATTAGGACCATCACTAAGCACCGGACATTTTAAGTTAAGTTCAATGGTAAATATTAAAGATCAGATTCCAAAAGTATAAGCTCACTGTTAGGATAAAGCCCCTCTTATATGTATATATGCATGCATGTGCACACACAGACACACACATATAAATAGAAAACAGTATATATACAGATATGTATAACATGCATGTTCAAATGTTTGTATCTTATATTTAGCTGTCTAGCTCAGTCAAGCAATACAGTGGGGATCAGAATGAAATGCAGGAAGTTATTAGCAAGATTGCCACCAAATTTGATGACCAGGTACTCTGAAAAGAATTAAGGACATCGAGGAATTGCAGGTCTTGCTCCTCACCTTACTAACAACCTTCCAGCTGAGACAGGTCCAGGATTGAAGGCAGGCTAGATGCAAAAGTTGAACCCCAGGCTCTTTTCCATTTTCAAGATTAAAATCTTAACTGAGCCTCCATGACACACAGAGGCACAGCAGTAAATTTTGCCATGTTGTGACAGCAACCACAGGAAGAGGTTAAGATTCTCTTTCCTTATCTTTCAACCAATTATCCATCCAGTCAGAAACAAGAGAGTATCTGCTCAGGCCTCCAAAATAAACACTGGAGATACAACACCTATTCCAGGGTAAGGTAGACTCTCAGATTCATATCACAACACAAATTTCTGACACCATACCTAGAGAGAAATCATAGCCCTGTATCAGAATATACCTGAAGTAGTTCAGAATAAGTATCCTGGAGGAAATCTATTCTGAGAAGCGAAAGTCTCAAGAAAGTAGCATTGCCCACAATCCTAGGATGTCTAGTATGAATTTGGTGTATATACCAAACATATGTGTTAGAAACTTAATTCATGTTATGATTTTGGTGTCAAGACCTATGTCTTCAGAGGTTCCCAGATTTGTGGCCAAAATAGCAGTGCTGGGACCTTGAGAGTTGATGTCTAGTGAGAGGTCTTCAGGTTGACCTGAAGACATGTCCTTCTTGAATGAGATGTGGATCTTTTGTCTGTGTGTCTCTATCTCTCCATGCTCTAAAAGTGAGCTGTCCTTGACACTCTCACTGTCCCATGTGATGACCCAGTAGGCAGGCCCTTACCAGATGCTCATCAGATGTTAGCTGATCTTCAGTTATTATAGTGAGTTGAGTAAACATTTATTCCTCATTAGTCACCCAGTCCATTGTACACAGTTTCAGCATCTCAACTTGGACCGAGGAAGACAGTCTTAGGAGAGGAGGAAACAATAGGAGTATCTCTCCATCACAGATGCCATAGTGTAGTGTGTAAAAGTGAGCATTCAAACACCAGCTCTCTGGCTTCCATGGCAAAAACTTTGAGAAACAAAATCCTAATACAAGGGTGTACAGCCAGTGAGCTAACTGTAGTGCATATATGTAAGAACATACTCTGTGCTGTGTGTTAGCAAACCTTAGTGTGCCTAGCACTAAACATTAAATGAAATGCCAACTAGAAAAGAGAGAGTAACTGTTTCCAAACGAAAATTGATAATTTCAATAAAGACATATTCTGGGTCTATGGAGCGTTCTAAAGGACAGAACACTAGGCATACTACTGTGGAACAGCACAGACAACTCATTGCCAATTTTATCCATTTGACAAATTAGAATCTGAATCTGCAGGAGGTTGATTCCAGGACATAGTTGGGATACTGAAAATCAAAGATGTTTGTCTCCTATATAAAGTGACATAGCATTTACATGTGACTTTCTTTTTTTAATTTTTACATTTATTTACTTGCAGGTGGCAGGGGTGTATGCATTAGGAGATCAGAGGACATCTTGCAGGAGTTAGAACTTTCTTTCAACTGCATGGGTTCCAGGAGTCAAAGAAGGCTAACAGGCTTAGCAGGCATCATTTTTACCTACAGAACAATCTCATTAGCCCTTAAACAACTTTAAAGCCACCCTTACATTTCTTCTATAATACATGAAGCAATGTAAACGCTATATAAACATTTATTTTAATGCATTTTAAATTTTTTGCTATTTTTTCAAAATGCTTTTGATTTTCAATTGGTTGACTCTTTGGGTATGGTACGACAGATGTGAAAAGATAGAGTGTAGCTAATGAGAGTAGGCTGCAATCCTGAGATAGAGAAGATAGCAGACAGAGGACATTGCAGAGGGGTGGAATGGGGACTTTGTTGAAAACATGTAAGGTCTGAGTTATTCATAACCTTGTGTGGAGAAGCCAAGTAGACCAGGTGACTGAGATCACCAAAGGAGACAGAATGAAATGACATCAAGTTCTGAGCCCCAGAGACTGTCAATGAAATCTCAGAAAGAAAAGGAAAAACAATCTCCAGGTCGTAAGACCATACCACCAGGAGAAGACACAGGCAGGAATAGGCAGTGTTCCAGAGAACAAGACCAGCAGTACCAGGTTCTGTTGAAAAATGATAAAGAAGGACAGAAAAAGGACTTTGACAAAATATAGCTACTTCCGTGACATGGCCCAGCTGTAGAGTTCTGAGGACTAAGAGAGAATACACGGCCCCAAGAAGGATACAGAAGCTTCCTTCCAGGAAGGAGATGAAAGAAGGAAACTGAGTGGAGACATGGCATGGGGCAAGGAAGGAAATGTCTTTAATACAGTTGACAATGAAGGAGTATTTGTAAACTGACAGGAAAGCACAGTTCTTGGACATGAAACTTCAGGCGTTTTTTTGTTTGTTTGTTTGTTTGGTTGGTTGGTTGGTTTTTTTGGTTTTATGAGACAGGGTTTCTCTGTATTGTTTTGGAGGCTGTCGGTCCAGCCAGGCCTAGAACTCACAGAGATCCGCCTGCCCCTGCCTCTCGAGTGCTGGGATTAAAGGCGTGCGCCACCAACGCCCAGCTACTTCAGGTGTTTTATGCACGGGAAGATAATTCATGTTTAAATTCAATACACTGATTTAACTAAAACCCAGAGATAACATAAAAGTAAATTATTACTCTGAAGATATCTCCCATTTCAATTAAATGTAAAATGCTTTGCAATGAAGGTAGAAGATTTTTGCATTAGATTATCCTCTTAGGGAAAAAAAAGGAGGGCAAATAATTTATACACAATTTTCCAAATCCAAAAGTCAGTGTAAACAATATATGTAGTAAGTAAAGTAGAAGGAAAATTCAAAGGAAGCTTTCCAATTCATTCAGTGACATTTCTGTGTACACAAGAACTACGCCTAGGAAGCTCACAAAGAACCCATTATGCTCACAATAACTCAGATTATGTCAACCAGGACAGTGACTATAGTATTAGTTAGGGTTCTTGGTATAATGCAAGAAGAGTGTTCCCAAAGCAAGGCACAATGGACAAATCACACCCGATCCAATCTCAGTTCTGCTACACAGAATAAATCCCTGCTTGGGACTCATCCAGGTATCCAGGATGCTCCAGACATACATGATACATGGACAGAAACACATCTGGTGGCCTGTGGGAAGTCGCTTATGATCTTAGGAGCCTGGTTATAGAAGCTATTGGAATAGATTGGTTCTTAGTTCTAAACTCTAAAATGT